TCTATCAATATCTGGAAGATAAGAAAACGGTTTCTATTCTCCAAGACCCACTAGTCAGTAAAGGATTTAAATTCCATAGGGACAATCTGGTTTTAACTCACTTGTTATATCCCAAATCACTACTGGTCAAGTTTGGAAAAGTGCCTCCCTGTAGTCCGTTCCTATGGTGGCCTTATTGAGAGGCACTGAGTTTTGGAGCATTGCAGCCTCATGGGAGGTGGTTAGGTTACAGAGAACATGCCCTTGAACAGGACTGTCTTTCTGCTCCCTGGCTCGCGATGTAAGGAGGTTTCACTCCTCCACACACACCCACCATGTGCTGCCTCATCATGCATTCAAAGCAATGAAGACATCCCATAAAGGACAGGGAGACAAACAAATCTCTCTAAGTGGATTATTTCAGTATTTTGTTGTGGTGATGGAAAGCTAGCTTAAATAACTAGAAAAATGCTGACACATGAAAAGAGTTTAATAAAAACTAATTCACTGAATAAATTTCATGTATTTGTTAATGGTACATTCTATTGGAGGGTTTGGTGGGGTTTCTTTTCCCTCCTTCCCTAGTGAACTCAATTGTAATAGAGTTGAAAATACAAAAATAAAAACTGTATGTAATTTTTCTGTGTATAGCAATAAAAAGGACTGAGAGTTAAAACTGAAACAATCATAAACTGTCAGTATAAAAGCAGAATCAATTCTCTACAATTTAAGAGAAAAATCGATTGTTAAAAGATAGAGAAAGCTTTAAATGGTCTCTGATGTATATACTCCTATGGATTAGTGTGGTCATCCTATTCAACATGTAGATATAGGTGATTACAGGAAGCTGTCAGCTGATGAAATAACTTTAGAGAAGACTGGAAATGGTGCACACTCTTCTCTACATTAGCAGAAAAACAAAGCAGTTACCTACTACACAGTTTAGATTTAACTCTCATCTATTAACTTCCATAGTATGTTATTGTGGTCAGAATTATCCTTATATTGTTCATGTCTTCACTTAGTCTGCTTATATAACAGGAGAAAATATCCTAAAGTCTTTTAGAATCTTATATTGAATCATGCTATTTCTTTCTCTGCAGTAGATCTAGCTACTTGCCTTTTCCTTTGTGTTTCCATAGCAACCACTGGACTTCAGGTTAGGGATCACCTTAATGCCACGTCCTCTACAACAGATATTTAATCTCTTTTTCTGTTCCTCTGTCTGTCTCTCTTTCTCTCTTTTTCTTATAATCTTATTTTAGATAAACATAAATTTATGTTAAAGTATACATACATGTTATATATATAAAGTATATACACATATTATTTATATATACATACACACACACACATATATACTGTTGTTTTTAAGCATACACATGGAATCGGTTCTAGTACCTCCACCATGGATAGCTAAATTTGTGATGCTCAAGTCCTTTATATAAAAAATAAACAGCATTTACATATAACCTACACATATCCTCCCATATACTTTAAGTCAGCTCTAAATTACTTACAACACCTGATAAAATGTAAATACTAAATACTGTCTGAATAGCTGTTGTATTGTATTGCTTAGAGAATAAGGACAAAAAAGGTCTGTACCCATTCAATGTAGTTGCAGCTTTCATTTTCAAGTTTTTTCTAAGAGGTCAGTTGAATGTACAGAAACCTGCTGATACAGAGGGCTGACTACTTAAATAATATAGTCTCTTGATTCTTAGCTACACTTTTCAGGGGGATGCTTTCTGATCCAGGATTCATGGACATTTCCTACTGAGCAGCATTTCAAATTTGAAATCCTGAAGTCACTTTCCAAGTGCACATGTCACTGCTCTGCCCTTCACCATTACCATGACAGCTCAATAACCCAGAACATTTACATCAGATGAATCACTGTGCCGCATGCTTACTCATTTGGAGAATATAAAAAGCTCATTTTGAAGACTACAAAGAAACCTATTTATGCACCACACCTTTTGCACAAAGAACATCATCATGACATTTCTGTCTCCTGCTGATTCAGCTCTTCCCACTTCATTAGAGGTAATTACCATCATGAATATGTGTTTATCTTTCTCTTGTTTTTCACTAAAATATTACCACATAAAATTATACTCTTAGTCAATATTGTGCTGAATTTCACTTATACTAATTTACATAAATAAAATAACACTTTACGTATTTCTCCAAGGTTTGCTTTTACAGCTCAACACATTTCTGGGGTTCTCCTCATTGCAGACTAGTATTTTCTGAATGAGTAAACCTTAACTTAACTTATCTATTCTACTATGACTGGGCTTTTGTGTTTTCCTCAGTACTTTTCTTAAATACTAACAATGCCACCACAAATATTCCTGGCACATATGGACAGGGGCACATAATCTAGGCAGGAGAATGGGCTTGATGGATCACAGGTGAACACATATTTAAAGAAGTAAGGACAGAACAAAGTAATAAACTATCCACTCAGCAGTGGTGGAAAAGAACACATTCTTATCTAAAATTGTTACTCTCCACATAGTGTGATATTTTCCAATAATAAAGTATCAAATTCATTTATGATTTAAGTAACAATTGTGCTATTTCTGATTATTAATGATATTGAACACATTTTCATGTTTATATTGGGCACTGCAAGTCACTTCATTGAATTTATTTTCTGTTTCTATACTATTTTGCCCTTCACTATGTTCTATAACATTATCTCATTAATATTCACCCTAAAATTATGTTACCTATCAATGTTAAATCATTAACTGATACCCTTTCATCTTTTCTCATCTAAATTTCTTAAAGAGACAAAAAAATAAAAACAGTACAAAATTTCAACTCAAGATGACAAGAAATCAACAATGGTTATTATATTGCAAAATGTTATCTTCAAAATATTTGCTTAGATTACCAGATACAGGCATGCAAAATTGATCAAACAATATAAGCACTAATGATTCCTTTTAATGAACTAATAGAAATTAGTAGAAAACATGGTTAAAATAAAATTAAGTGAGAAATCAGTAATAAAAGGTAACTAAAATGACAAATATTTTTTAACTTGTAGATCAAATAACATATAACAGGAAAATTTTGAAGCAATGCTAGTGTTACATAGAATTTTCACTTAGCTTTCAAAATATAAGGCATTTTAGTTACCTTTTATGAGTGATTTCTGACTCAGTTGCATTTTGATCATAGTTTCCTCACAGCTTAATATGTCATCAAATATAATTTTTCTTGAAAAATGCATTTATACTTACCAGTACAATATTCTACACATGTTTATTAGCTGGAGCTAGTAAGATATTTAAATCTTATGGATTTATAGATGTTTTACTCTGCTTGAATTGCCAACAGTGAAAGAGATATGTTAATCTCTCTCATTACAATACTACATGTATTTCTTTTCATATTTTTGCTTCCCACATTACTGTATTATAACGCCTACTGAATTAATCTCCAGGAATTTATTTTAATATAAATGTATTTTGACTGACAGTATTGTACCTTCCTTTGGATAAATCTTATCTAGGATATTTTCTCATCTTTTAAGTTTCAATATTTCCCTATTCTCATGACTTAAATGTATTGTGTTATAGTTTATAACATTTTTAAAAATTTGGAACATTTATTTTACTTACTTTTATCTTTAATTTGGTATATATTTAT